CCCTGCCACACAACTTCCCCCTTTAAATGGTGCATGAGGGATGTTTCCCCTGCTGCTCCTCTAAGCAGGCTCCCCTCCCAGCCTGTGAAAGCCCTAAAGTGGCAAGCACTCCAAAGGTGCTCTGCCACACACCTCCCCCCTTAGAATGAGATCTGGGGGGCAGGGCTTCACCTGGCTGCCTTCCTTGCTGGGCTCTCCCCCGGCCTATTGCAGCCCCTGCCATGTGGTGAGCACCCCAAAGGTGCTCCGCCACAACAGGGTTATCTCAAGGTGAAGTGTTTTCGGATGGGAACAGTCTGTGGTAACAAGTGAGCTGGCAATGCTATCCTGGGCAAGGAATGCAATTCAGGTCCCGAGGGGTGAACAGGCTGCCCTCCATTCCCCTCCTTGCCTCTAGTTATTCCAGCAAACACAGCCCTTCTGCAGCCCCACCCAGAGTGCCTCACAGTGGCACAGCCAGAGCACAGTTTGTAAGCGAGGGTTGTTTAGAGATGGATGCACGTGTTGCCTTAAGTGTTCAAACACTAGACACCAGTGGACCTCAATCTTTTTAGACTCAAGGAACTCTTCATTAGTCTCAAGGTACCCCTTGGAAAATGCCAGCTCTTAGCTTTCACTGATTTTTTTTTTTTAACTATGGAAAAATAATTGAGAAATTCTTTGGCTGCAAAGAAGTCAAGGGCCACAACAGGTAAGAATGGTTTTGACACTATCCTATTGGAAATCTCTGGGTTTATTCTGTGACTCATGTGTAGGTGTGTGCCTGCCTGACTGTACTAATATTGTGCAGCATTCTTAGAAGGATGTCATAGCATCCCAGCATGCTGTGGCACCCTGATTGAGAATCACTGCTATAGATGACAATCTATTCTGCCATAGAATCATAGAAAATTAGGGTTGGATGGGTCCTCAGGAGGTCATCCCCTGTTCAAAGCAGGATCAATCCCAACTAGATCATCCCAGCCAAGGCTTTGTCTAGCCAGGTCTTAAAAACCTCCAAGGAGAGAATCTTGCTATTGCTCCCTGTTCTGTCATCTGCCATGTCCCCCTGAAAGGTGAAAGGGGAACATTTCCTATGTACTGGACCTGTGTAGAAATGCAGTGAAATCCTGGAAGGATACCCATGGTATAAGCAAGAGGCCTGAGCCCAGCTCCTTGTAAATCTGGATGAACTCCACTGGCTTCACTGAGTAGACTGGATTTGTGCTGATGTAACTTGGATCAGAACCTGTTTTTCTTTCTCTAGGGAAGAGAAGACTCTTACAGTGGGACTTGGAGAAAATAGACCAGCCCACAAGAGCAGTATTTCTGCACAGCATCAGGGGTTGAACAAAACCAGCCCACTCCTCCTACAGGGGTTCCTGTTGCACCCACAAAATGCACCCTCTGCCTCAAAGTCCTAGTCTGACCCCAGTGCCAATGTCAGAAAGCTACGGAGGTCTCTCCCATGAATGTCTGTTGGAGGAGACACAAGAGAAGGCTGAGGGGGGACCTAGTGACTGTCTATAAACTCACCAGGGGGGACCAGAAGGGTTTGGGGGAGACGCTGTTTCCCCTAGCGCCCGCTGGCATAACAAGGAGTAATGGGCACAAGTTGATGGAGAGGAGGTATAGATTGGACATCCGCAAAAACTACTTCACAGTTAGGGCGGCTAGGAGCTGGAACCAACTTCCAAGGGAAGTGGTGCTGGCCCCTACCCTGGGGGTCTTTAAGAAGAGGCTGGATGCCTACCTGGCTGGACTCATTTGAGTCCCGTTTCTTGTTTTGGGGTTTTGTTGTTCTTCCGCCCTGGCAGGGGGTCGGGCTAGAAGGTCTACTAGGTCCCTTCTGACCCTAAATCTATGAAACTATGAAACTATGAGTAAAGATGGCTGCCTGCGTGCAGAAATGGAGGTCCATCCTGAGGAACTGAGTTGAGTAGCAGGGGAAATGACTGTGGCCATTTAAACACAATCCTTTTCTGTGTTAAAAACTAGGGAGGACTTGTTCAAATCAGTGGCCCAGTACTGATGACAGACTGGTGTAAGGGAGAAGAGAATTAGGGCCCTTCAGTGTATAATAAAGGATGCATTTGCAAAGCCATTACACTGATATCTGAGAGTCCCCAGCAGGCTGCTCTAAGCCCAGAAAGTGCCTTTAGTTTAAAGTGTTTTCAACAGAAGCACATTCAGGCACTTTCTGAGATGTTGCTAGAAACAGCTGTGTGCTTGTTTGTGTCTCAGACCTTCCCTGGCAGTGTAGGGAACTCACCTGGGTCACGGGGCTAAGTACCAGCACCCAAGAGCAATGCTAACTAAGGGTCCATTTCAATGTAGGGCACATAGTGAACACTCCATTTGAACAGCAGTCCCTACGAACAGCAGTGGAATGGGGGACTTCCACCGTCTCAAGATGAGTGAAACTTACGAGTCACCACTGCAAGGAACCAGCAGAGCTGCCATGTGCAGCCTGCATGCTCCAGGCAGGGACACATACAGCAGATCGCAGCTCTGCCCCAGCTCCTTGCAGCTGGGACAGCCTGTTCTGGAGCAAGGGCAGAGCTCCAACCCCCTGCCTGACTGCCCCCGCCCAGAGCATGCAGGCTGCAGACCGCGGCTCTCCCCTGGCTCCAGAGCAAGCTGCCCCCATCACAAGATCCCAGCAGCTCTGGAGCAGCCCTGTCCTGCTCTGCCACCTGCCCTGCCAGTGCAGCTGAGGCTGGTCTCCACAGCAACCCCAGCCTTAAGCTTTCTCAGCCCAGCTGCAGCTGGGGTCTCCATGGAGACTGGCCCCAGCCATGCAGGCAGGGGCTTCTGGGAAATGGAGTCCAGCTGCCAGGCAGATTGGCCATTTTGCCTACCCCTGTTCTAAAGGGTACAGTAGTGACAGCCCAACAAAAAACCGTCTGGACATAATGGAAGCACAAGACGAATGGCAAGAGACCAACGTGGCTGCACAGGGAGCTGCTGAAATGCCTCAAATGCAAAAGGAAAGCTTACAGGCGATGGAAGAATGGGTAAGTCACCAAGGATGTGTACCAGGAAACAGCAAGAAGCTGCAGGGACAAAATCAGAAGGCAGAGATGAAGAGGGAGCTGTATCTGGCCAAGGAGGATGCAGACAAGAAGAGATTTCCATGTGTTGGCCAGAAAAGAAGAAGCAAGGAAGCTGGGGTCCTGTTAACCAGCCAAGGGGAACTCTTACCAAAAGATGCACAGAAGGTGAAGCTACTCAACAGCTACTTTGTCTCGGTGCTCACAAAAGTATTATCCTGGAGCCAGATACCTATTTGGATAAGGAAGGGAGCAAGCTGAGGGATGAGATATGAGGAGACAGTCAGAACTTTTGATGGGTCTGAATGGATTCAAGTCAGTAGGGCCTGACAAACATCCCAGGGTACCGAAGGAATTGGCAGAAGCGATCTTGGAGCCTTTGGCAATGCTATTCCTGAAGTCATGGGAGACAGGTCAGGTACCAGAAGACTGGAAAAGTGCCAGTGTAGCGCCTGTCTTTAAAAGGGGCAAGCAGGAGGACCCAGGAAACAAGATTGGATAGCCTTACCTCAATATCTGGCAAGTTACTGGAGGATATCCTAAGGAAGGCCATCTGTGATCAGCCTTTCCTCTTCCCAATGCTTACAAGTGGCCAGCATGGATTGATGAGCAAATAATGTCAAAGTAACAATTTGGGTGGATGAAGGGATTGCTGTGGATATAGTGTACCTGGACTTCAGCAAGGCTTTTGTCAAGGTCAGCAACTGTCAAGGGGTGGAGCTACTGATGAGGCTGACAGCTCACCAAAACTCACTTAACCAACCTGCACCTGGCCTAAGAGGAAAACAGACCAGCCTAAGCACCCAATTAAGCAATTAGCTGCTGGTTCACAGATGCCTCCCTCCCTGGCAGGGTAAGTCTTCCTGTGGGTTGTGTGGTTTTGCCTCATCCCCTCCCCTTCAAAGGGCCCCAGGAGCCACTCCCAGTAGCAGCTGTGTCTGAGCTGCTTTGTTCTTATCAGTTAATCATTTAACCGATATAATTAGAAGAGGATAAATGAATGTTTTTTAAATTAATTTTAAAATATTTTAATTAAATATTTTAATTAAAAGGTTGTAAAACTTGTGATGATAAGCTTTTATATCTACGTTGGACTAATCCCTTTGCTTTCAAGCACTAGGGCAGGCATGAGCAACATTTCTTGGCAAAAACACCCACAACCTCAACTTGTGATGTTGGAGGGTGGCTGGTGAGGGAGCCACAAGGGGCCTAATCTTTATTGTGGCAGTGCAGCCCCAGCCACTTCCCCACCATCCGCCCCAAGGCACATGTGCTAAGCACAAAGCCATGCGGCACGTATGCCAGGGCTTGCCTACTCCTACTCGGTGGTGTTTTTACCTCTAAACTAGGATAGCAGTGCTCAACATTTTGGCCACAGTGACCAGATGAGTGGTGCAGGGCCAGACTGTACCCCATGCACCAGGATTCAGCCCATGCAGCACCAGCTGGCCCCAGCACACTGGGGTCGGGCCCCCACACACCAGTATGAAGCACCATGCCACCTCCACCTGGCCTTGCATGTCTGCATCAGACTCAGGGCCCAGTGCTTAGATCAGGACCTGGGCCCTATACCACCGCCACCTGGCCCCACGTGCCAGGATCAGGCCCCAGGGCTCCACACCGTCCCCTGCCCAGGACTGGGCTCTGAGGCCCCAAGCCGGGTCCCGCAAGCCAGGACCAGGCCTTGCGCCACTGCACACCTGGTCCAGCCCTGGGGCCCGCGCTGGCCTGCAGGGAAGGCTCAACATCGGGGCGAGCCGGCCGCTGCTCCGCCGGCCACAAGCAACACACGGGGACCCCAGCACCTGCCCGCTAAGCATGAGGCGCAGGGCGACCATTGTTCCGCCGGCAGACGCACCTCCCCGGACGTGACATAGTATGCCGGCGCCAGCGCCCATGCCGGAGCGCGGGGGGTTTTGGGAGCTGTGGCCCCAGCCTAGCTGTCACGCTCCAACCTCACTTCCGGCGCGGGCGGAGCTCGGACATACTTAGTCCGCGGGACCTGGTGTGCGTGTGTGGTCGAGTGCACTATGCCCAAGGCGAAGGCGGAGCGGCGGGCCCGGCAGCAGCGCCGGGAGGGCGGCGGCGCGGGTGAGCGGGGCCTGGGCCTGGGCTTGGGCTTGGCAGGGGTGGGTGAGGCGAGGCGTCGGTTCCCGCAGCGGCCTCAACCGGGCCGTGTCCCTGGGGGGGGATCCCGGGCGGGGACGCTGCGCTGACGGGCTCGGCCGCCTTTCCCCTCAGGCGTCGTGTTCAACACCGGGCTCGGACAGCACGTCCTGAAGAACCCGCTCGTGGTCAACAGCATCGTGGACAAGGTGTGTGGCGGCGGGAGCCTCCGAGGACCGCCCCCTCCCCCGGCTGTCCGGTGCCCCTCA